GGTCGTTTGGTCTCATGTCACTATCTTCCCGTGAGTCTGTTTATGTCTATGAATTTGAAAGCTTTATTCCTGAAATACGTGTGATTATACATTTCCCGGTAAAATCTCGATATCGGGTGTTGACATATCATCGGCACGCACGTGTACTATTGTTTACCAGGGGCCTGTTCGTGTATGCGGAGCAACCGGTTTGACCGTTTATAAATGTAACAATTTCGGGTATAAATCCTGGCGGACCTGCAAATGTATATGCAGGCCTTGCAAGGCTTTCTCACGGCTCGCCTGAAAGCAGCATCAGATTACTAGGTCCGACCTTATTTAATAAACGAACAACAGTGGTCCGATCGGTTTGACCGTTTGAACGAAAACGGCCAAGGTGTAACTATAATTTGCACAACGACATTGAATGCCCGATACGCAATACGGAAATGACGACACGGTGTACATGCACATTTCGATCAAGATAATTGAGTCCGAGCTGTACTTTTTCCGGAAGTACGTCACGAAAATGGACGCTGATGACGATGTGTGGAGCCACCTTAAGCACATGGTCGCCGCGCTTTGCACTGAAAACACAAATATCAGATGCTTGTCGACGAGATCTACTGTGACTAAAATGACGTCAGAGAATTCTGGATCCGATCATGTCGTCAAAAGAGAAAAATAGATAAAGAACCAAGACTTATAGAACCTTACATTTAAAAAATGACAAATGAGAAATCGTGTTTCACAATTTTCGTAAACAATCTTGATTATATAATAAAAAAATATTGAATCCGCTTCCATTTCATATTAGATTTATGAAATTCAAAGCTCACTAATTTCTACGAAATGGAAACTCATATAAGATCTTATATGTATGTATTTGCGATCAAATTCAATGTGAAAGAAAAATGAATCATTGTAAGTATTGCGGTTTACGGTACACACTGTACTGGCCTGTCCTAAATCAAAATGACATGAGACGAGTTCTCGGAGGTGGTTTCAAATTCGGACGGTCGCTGTGCGAGTCACATCCTGATGGTTCTGACCTTTCCGAGCGCGTGTGTGAGATTCCATACAGAATTCACCAATCAATTAGCGCCCCTATCATGGATCCCCTCCGGACGTTCAGCACAGACAGATTTTTTTATGTAAGGGAGAAGGTTTGGTGTTCCTTGATTGGGGCATATAACAAGATATCGCTATGCTTACATTATATTTCAATTACATAATTAATTTAAGTAATATATCATATGATTTCCCCAATCTGTTATATATTAATTTTATCTTATATTCATTTTTTATATTTTTATATTTATTAAAATGTTTTGAATAAACAAACCTTTGTGATGATGATATGGAAAAAATACACCCAAAGTTTCATGGAAATTCGTTTGGCAATCTCGATTTTCTGGTGTCACATTGTTTAGAGATTGATATTGAAATACACATCTATAGACACCTATTAACGTTGTGGTACGTAAATGATCTATGTTATACAAATTCTATATTAATATTATGTGAAAAACACACATTTATATGACCTGACTTTATTACATATATTTTAAGGAATATTTAGTTTTGTTATTTTTGTCAGATTGTGAGGTGATAATTCTAGCTGAGAACGTGTAAATTGACAAGATGATGAAACCCTTTGTGATATAACCATGCCCAGCTGGAGTTGTCGCGTTCTATGGTAAGGTTATGAGATGATAACTGCAGTTTGCAGGAACAATGGTTATTGTGTGAACGTCAGTGTGGACTCTCACAAGTAATAAATACAACAAAAAACAAATGTTTGCTTTGATGCCTATTACTTAAAAGGATATATAAGTAGTAACGACAGTGCAGGCAAAGGAATTTGTCAGATTTTCGAGGAAATTCGCCCAGCTGATGAATCAGGGCAAATCGAGTGCTTTCAGAAAGAAAGTGAAATACGGTCACCAACGAACCAAAATGTAGTCTGCTTTGGCGAAAAATAATTTGCCTTTTGAGTTAAAATCTTACTTGGAATCCTTATCATTCATTTTTCTATTCTTTTTACAATAAAAACAAAAGCAATAGATTATTAAAAGGTAAAAGAATAAATAAACGAACAAACGAAACATGAATAAGTAATTATATCAACAATTACCTGTGTGGATATAGGTATGCTTTTTCATGTCGGACTTTTGATGGAACCGCTTGCCGCAGTACGGGCATGGGTAGGGTCGGGTGTCACTGTGGATAAGGAGGTGAGTAGACAAAGTGGACGAACGTTTGAAACCCTTCCCACACTGTTTACACTCAAATGTTCTCTCTTGGGTGTGAACGAACTTGTGTTGGTCAAGACTGACCGAATGACCGAACGTTTTGTTGCATACGTCACAAGCGTAGGGTCTCGTGCCGCTGTGAGATCGCCGCACGTGCACCTCCAGTCCATGAGGCGTACTGAAAAGTTTGTTGCACTTGGCACATTCGTATGTGCTTGCGCACTCTCCTGGCGATATCTTTCCCTGGAGACTGTCTTGGTCTTCGGTGCACGTATCCTTGTTGTTAGTGACACTAGGAAGGAATGGCTGACGGAACGGGTAGCCGCCAAAGTAATTGTAGGACAGCAGGACGTTTTGCAGGAGGTACCTAGCGTCCATTCCAAGACCTCCTGTCCAACCGTTATGCATAAAAGGTATCAGGCTCAACGGGAAAGCATAAGCTGATTCAGCATCTGGAAATAAGCAAGAATGGTTGGCATATGTAGTTTAGAGAAATATAGAACCGTATTTCTCTTAAAACACAAAGCTGTTAATATAAGAAAGACACAAATTACCAACATTATTTATGAGTCTTCGCAAACTGAATAGCACTTTTATTTCGTCATGTAGATTACGGGATTTTGTTTCCGAAACAAATTCGCAGGGTCACGAATTTCGCGCAACACTGATGCTGTTTAAAGGTACGACAAATCTCAATAATAACGACAATGAGTTAGCATTTCGCGCATTGTTATAGACCGTGAATATAACTAAAATAAAACAATTGCGGATACACGCACATGTTTAATTATTTTTATTCTACCTCGTCAGTGAGTTATTGTTGTAACTAGTAATACATGATTGACAAGCGCAGGCATGTTTTTTACTTTATAGAAAGCAACGCTCATTATATTTTGACGTGGTAGAAAAGATAAAATAAGATGTCACCATATATTATCGAGATTCAAAAATATCAGTTTAGTCACAAACTCAATACATATTCCACCCACCATAATACTAGAACATATGTTGATTTGTTTCGTGGATAATATGTACTTTTGAATTTCATACATGACCCATTGATCTTGTCTAATAATAGTCTAATATTTCTTGAATTGGTGGTTTTTCTTGAAAATGAGAATATATCTTATTTAAATGGTTATTTATCATGTGAAAATAACCTTTGCAAAAATAGACTTTGGGTTTGTTTGGGTATCTTGATAACACACGGCAGTGTAGGACGTTGCAAACCTTGCTTTTTGTTTTTTGTTTTAAAAGTTTTGTTATATCAGTGTTCTTCTCTAGGACGTCGATACTCAGTGTATTATGTATCATAAGCATTAATATATGGGGTTTTAAAGGACAAAGTAGTAAATTGGGCAATTAGGGATTTGTGTACTTCAAAAAATGTTTCATTTTGTTATTTTTAAAAAGTCCAGGTGTATAGGTATTGACTTTATCTATTAATGACACAGACTTTATATAAACATTAATAAAATATATAAAATATATAAAATAAAGTAATGGAGGTTTCTTTTACAATAGCTGCTTTAGTATACGCCAGTTATACGTTTCTTCCGAAGCTTTGTTTGGTTCCCTGTATTGAAATACATTTTATTATCTAAAACAACCTATCAAAATCATTCTCATACATGTACTCAATTAAATAATTCCAAGGTGTCATCAACCTCATTGTGGGATAACCCAATTAATGATTCTCTGTATTCTGTCAATAATGAGTGTATATTTACTTTTATGGATATTTCAATGATTTTGCTTCCGAGTTCAAACCAAACCTCAGGAAGACATATTTCAAACACCTCTCATTATTTACTTCATCAATAATGTTAAACTTCACGCATTGTAATTGTGTCTGGGTGAATATCAGTCTTGGTTTCTATAAACATGTGTGAATCAGAACACAAACACAGTCTAAGGGTAATGAGGTACGCGCAGAGACCGGTTCCATATAATGAATCAATTTTGTTCGATGTTGATTCATAAACAGAAGACGCCGCACCAGCATATGTAAACATTTTTAATGATTTACGGATGTACTTATAATTACTAATCACATTTCAGTATAGATTGCAAATTAAGGTTACAGTATTTTTTATGAAGTTTTAATATTTGATGTCATATTATTACCATAAAATACATAATAAATCATGCACAAGAAATAAAAAAAAGTCAATGATGTGCATAAACGGAAAATCGCGAATTAATTTGAATATATCGCAAATATTTATTACTATGCAAATAAACTAAGGATAATTGTAACTTAATTTTCAATTAGTAAATTTCAATCGTCGCCAGTAATTTCGTTTGCAGCACAAGCGCAAAATAATTATTCACAATCATTTGGTGATATGCATTAAGTCAAGTGATGTATAGTGGTATAAAGCTTAAATTGTGAGTTATCATACATATATACGAATTATTCAATTAACATTGAAATGTTATATCAAAAATGAATGTTTTGTATGTAATCCGATAATGAAATCCTGAAAATGACATTAAAGTATTTCTATTAAACATTGTATTGCTTTATACTGTTATATCAAACCATTCTGTTTATTTTGCATAGTTGGATACATTAATGTATATTGTGTAACGTTTTTTGTATCGTATCATGTTATGTTGAATTCGGTTTTATTGTATACAATTAACCATTTAAAAGTTATACACTTATTTCACATAGTGACAACAAAACTCTTTGATATTTAAATGATAAGCCTGATAATTTTGTTTACTCTCAAACATGATAACTTGAACATTGTTGACTGCTTAGCATTTGTATTGAAAAATACTGGTTTAGATCACAGGGTTAAAAACTATAGCAAAAACTTCGTTCTTATATAATTAAATGCAACAGCCTTCACATCTAAAAGCGGGTGCACTGTATTGAATTAATTATGAAAACAAGACTGCCAATATCAGGATATAAAAAGTGTTTATATGGTATAAGGCATAATAAAAATTATCTTAGAGGTTCACTGAGTAACATTTATTTTTATATTAAACATATCAAAATTAACGTGTTCGAAGTAGACAGGTTCGAGACTCTCATTTATGTGTTGATAACATTTTCCTTACATGATTAATATGGCTAATTCTGATGCATTGTCAACGAAAGTATTTTTAAAACGAAAAGATCACATGCCAGAATTGGATCAGAATATTACATTATAATACTAACATATTGAATAGTTGTCAAATCTAAAGTGCTCACAGTTCAGACCTTTGCTACAAAAGCTATTATTGTTACAGAATATACAACTTTCAATGAACGTGTCGTTTTTTAAAAGTGATAAAATGAAAAAAAAAAAGTTCTATTAGTTTTAATTGAAAGCTTACGTTGTTAAATCAAGCTGCACAAACTGTGCTTGTATTTCGAACAGAATGTTTGTACAATGGAAAGTGGGATGTACCTTGGATAGCTGGGTAAACACACAGACTGGTAGATTTAAAGAAACACCTGTTTCGGATGAAAGGATGGCTCGCTCAGCATTGGTTATCATGAACATTCTATCATCGAGGTTACAAGGTATTAAGAAGTACTTCAAATCTCTTTAAGAGCATACTATAATTATATAGCTATCAAAAACACCCCCTTAGCATTGTAAGGATGTCAAATTTACACTCACTGTTGATGGCTGGGGTCAATGTTTTTTGAGAAGGTAGAACAGATTTCTGGTTCGACTTTGACCTTTGAATTAAATAAATGATAAAAGCATGAATATTTGAAATATTATTTTTATTCTAACACTCACCACTGCCGTCGTCCTTCCTTTCCTGCCACGGTCTGAATGCTGTAAAATTTCCTCCAATCGTACTGATTTTCTCGGCGTCAAGTGCGGCACGTGCCGGCCATGCGCGGTCTCGGAGATGAAGGAGGGACGCGGCAAAAGGAGTGTGCTGAATATCCGATTCAGAAAATCCTGAAATAGAAACAAAATGTCAAACGTTTGTCTCATTGTATGCCCATAAGGTTAATGACTGTTATTTGTGTTATTATAATTATTCTATTTATACATTGTATAATGAATAATGGTTATATCGGTTGTAATAGTTGTCTGGACTATATATCATTACATCATATATCAATATATAATATCAACAACAATTTTAATTCAAAGTTAAAACAGTTGTAGTTGTTTAAAAAAGAAACTTTTTTTTTTTTTTTTTTTTTACAAAAAATATTCAGCTATTAATAAATATATGTCGTCGTGCAGGTTATCCCATAGTTTTACACATCTAATCAAAGAATCGAACTTCGGTCGTATTGGTGAAAAACAGTGCGCTGACCACCGCTTCACGTAATACTTGTAATTTGAAAATCCTGTTTGATTGTTTAGAATAAAACTGCTATAATCTTATCAAATTCATGCAACGAAAAAGTAACATTGCAAAATCCGCGTGTTTTCGGCGAGTGTGCGATAGTATTCTCGATACCTTTTTTCCAGTTAATGGCGATATCATACAACATTCCAGTATGGTATTATAAGCAGGGGTTCTCAATGAAAGAAAACCTCCCGATATATAACATATCACATACTTTTCATGTATTTTCAGTTATAATATGCACAGATACAAACCTCATTACTGCATTACTGTAACCGTTACGTAAATGATTTTTAACTATATTGGATATGTCAATAATATTATACACTTTTAGAAACTATCAATTTCAATTTTGTGGACTTAAACTAAAAAAATAACGTAGACAATACATTTTATCAACAATAAACAGCTTGATTTATATAAACAATGTCAACAAAATACTAAGGTTTTTCATTTATAAAATATAGTGAACGGGTGAAGCTTTTTATTTTTTGATATAATTATAGAAAACAAAATTTGTCAAAAAATATTTAACAAACTTACCGTTTTTTGGCATCACCAGCTGAAACGCACTAGACATAGCGTCCATTCCCTGTATCTGTTCTTCAAGAGGACGAATTGAATTTCGCACCAAAAATGATTTTGGCATCGTCATTGAAAAGTGTACACTATTTTAACGAGTATCTGTTTAAATCTGCTGTATTCTTTGACCAAGATGAACAAGGTCTCGTGCCTTGAGTGGATTTAAAATCATGAAATCCTGCCCACAATTAAATAGACACACGAGGACGGCCGACCCGCACGCGCCTATGGGCACAATTCAACCAATCGGCTTTGTTGTAACAACGGTTCAATATTTGCCCGCAAATGATCGGAAAGAGTTAAATATTTGTATATGCCGTAGTGTTTCCGATGTCGCATTATTGTGATCTTTTAATGGTCGGTAATACTTAGTAGCCGGAATACAATGCCACAGGTTAGCGGGCTTTGATCTATTTAAAAGAAACGGGTTTCTACGATGAGCCAAGAAAAAGACACTTCCTAAACCAAATGTGTTGATCAATTCCCTGTGAGTGGTGTTTACTGTTATTGGCGAACAAAGTGATTTTCAAGTTTATATATCCATTGTATTAATTAGCACATCACCTGCTTAAATTCACACACAGCAGGCATCTATTAAGTCTACAGTGATAGGGATCTTTGTAGAACGTAGAATCATGTTGTGCTCAATGCTTCTTTGGCGTGAACAATACTTTGCTTCTGACTTTATTGTCGTACCGCAAACAATCGTTAATCTTTGAGACGACTTTCATTATATAAACATCAGGGCATATGACGATTTTTTTTAAAATATTGTTTTAACTACACTGTATAGTATAGAAAGTGATTTCACATTACACAGATTATATGTATTGTTGATATATTTGTATAAAATCACTTTAATGAAGAAACAAATTATCTCATTTGTTCTGTCTCTCTGTCTTTTTGAGTCTTTCATCCAACAGTCAGTCTTGATTATTATTGAAACTATATAAATGGACACCTCGTTTAAATGGTTGTATACATTGACATACACTGTTGTCATATTTCATTAGTTCTAAACACATACAGATACGTCATAGGATACACTTACTATAAAGACTACGTTTAATATTTTTGTATCTCAAACAACACTAGTTGTTAGGTCTACGTAAATCTGTATCAGTGGATGTTTCTAGCACTGATTTCAATTTGAAATAATATACTTTTAACCGGAAAAAATGAAAGGCATCATTAACCACTACAAGACAACTTTAAGCTAAAGCATTTATTGTTTTTCTTTCTTAAATTTTGCCAAATTTGGAAAGAATAATATTTAACATGTCAGATCTCAGATATTTCATAAAAAATCTTTTTATCAAAAATGACACATACACTATTGAAAAAACCCATTGAGCCTGTTTGGAAACGTAGAAAACCTTGGTGTGATTTTTTTTTTTATTAAATATGCATAATGTTTTTTTATAAAATCGATTTCACAAGACACAAGTCACATTCGAATATGTTTGGTATCACTGCAAAATTAACCTTTGACAAGAATTTAGTGATGTTTCCACATTAACTAGAATTTAGATATTTTTGTTTTTAATTTATTTTGGGGATTATTATTACCCTTGATGATCATAGGATCTATTAATGTTCATCTTTAATTGAATTTATCTATACAACAGAAAGGTGATGAATATACAGGAGTATATTTCCTCCTAGCGTTATCAAAACTGTTTTAGAACAGATACGACATTAACCATTTATATTTTAGAGATATTTAAGGGTTATTCTTTCTTGTTAAAGACATAAAATAAACTGTGAACAATGAAGGTTTCCTGTACAATACAACCCGCTCTGAATTAGGTACACTGTTTACAATTCCCGAGTCGTAAAATTCGATTGTTTAAAGCAAGATTGGGTATTTGCAAATAATATGATTATAAAATATGAAAATATGAAAACAATTCCAATACAACACGCTCTTAATTAGGTACACTATTTATAATTCCTGATTGGTAAAAGCAAGTGTACAAGATGGAGTAATTGCAAATAATATGCAAATAAAATATGAAAATATGAAAAAAAATCAAGGAAAATATACTAGGTAAACAAGCATGCAAAACATACCACCTGAGCCATGATATGTATATTTCTCTCATTACCCTGTGTGTAAGATAGAGCTGTCCAGGGTAAGAAAGGGTTGTAGGAAATTTCTATCTTACACCCCATTTAACGTGACGTGACGTCACAATGGCTCAACAATGTTGTGACTCTCCGATGCCAAAATGCTGAAAAAGCGACGTTTTCGTATATAAAGCTCAAGGAAAATTGATATTTTTAAAAGGGTGGCCAGTCCAAACGCATTTCCATGGTAATTCTGGTGGTTGGAATTAGAGATTAAAACTCTTTCATACCCAAGGGTGTAGGATAGGGAAGTTCAACCCTCGGGATTTTCAAATTTGAAAACTTCACTGGAGCAATTTCCCTATCCTACACCCCTGTACATTAAATAGTCTTATAATATATATATTGAATGATAGGTCATAACCAAACAAAAGTTAATTTGAGAGGGTATGAAAGCGTGTTCATTGCCATTATTTTTTTAATATTTTAATGAACAAATAGAAATAGAAAAGACAAAGGTGGTGAAGATCCAGAGATTAGGATGTATAGAAACTAGAATTCACCAATTCCTATGATAAAAAATTAACACGCAAAAAAAAAATACACAAAAATACAAAAAAACATGACAATAATCTAAAAATTATAACAATGGACAAATGAAATAAAAACCTTAGCATATTCTTCTTTATAAAAAATAAGTGTGGAAAATATTTTGAAGAAACTTATATTGTTTTGTACCTTGGAAGGTAAAACACACAGGTGATTGTACCTTGAGGTAATAGGTACAGTATGACAAAAAATATTGTCACCGCATCACACAGCAGCTTTGTCTTTTCAGGACTCATTGGTGTTTCTAGGGGCAAAACGTAGGAAATCCAAAATTCAAAACTGAGGGGATAACTGATTAGTTTCTAATTAAATTACTAGTAAAGTGTGTCTATGATGAACAGTGCCTCTCGGTATTAAAAATACAACAGCAGAGTCTACCACCTTGTATCTTTATCGATGAACGTAAGATACACACGCACACACACACACACGTGATTTCACCTTTAAAATTCGGTAATAGATATTGTATGACAGAAAATAATTACACTGATTCATACAGCTAGTTGTACCTACCGAAACGGTTTGGATTAGAAAGATGGCAGTAGATTTTAAGAGCAGTTTGAAATTATAGATAAACCTTACAGGGAAAGTTTTTTTTATTTTTTATTTCTTTCAGAATGTTAAGTGCTGAAAGTAAATTATTACAATAAAGAAAATGAATCAAATAAATTAAGTATCATTGTAAACATTTAATTTTCTTTTACAAGTATTTAAATCCAATTAACCATCTTACAGTTATGGACTGTTACAACTATCATTATGCTCTTCTGTGAGGTTTAAAAGCATGACTTTTATAGCAGTGATAATATGTGTATCCTGATACATCCCGTACAGTTTTGACATGTTTAAAATGTCTTTGAATATCTAAGAGAGGACGAACAATCTCGTAACCAATCAATATCATTTTAATCGATGCCATACATGTGCAAAATATAGCCTCTTGTAAAAGAAACATTAACCTATGCCGTCACTACATGTATGCTCAAATAGTTTCAAGATAAATTAAGGAAAGTATTTACTTGTTGTTTTTCGCTGACGCCGTTACAATGTAATTGATAATAAAACTCATTTTAAGGAAACATATATTAAGTAGTTACGAAACCAATAAGGGCAAACAGATGCATGTTCTCTGAACAGGATCAGAATAGAACATCAACTGTGATTTTTTTTTTTATTTAAAAACATCGTATAAGGTGTTACACATAACGGTATGTAGTAATTTCAATAGCACATATTCATTTCGCAACCTTTCTTTAGATGAATCTCCCCTGCACAGAATAATATTATAAAACTTATTAACGACTTGATTCAATATTGCTTATATCTTTATTTTCCTTATTTGTTAAAAACAAATAAAACATTTCAAGGTATGTTGATATTTTAAGTTGCAATGATATTTTATATATAAGCTGTATTTGTAATTAAGATAAGAACAACACTGTACATTTTTTAAGTACGATGTTTACATCATGTCAAGTTCTTTTTAAAAACAACACTGAATGTTACAAAATGACAAATAATCTGACTTTGAGCTTGGTTCCTCTTTGTTGAAATTAAAAAGTAACCAGGTCAAGAAACGAGTAAAGGTGTTTTGAATTGTTAAAGTATTTTTTTCTCGACCTGGTACCTTTCTCTCTAATGCCTATTAAACAAACCCGAAATCAGAGTGATATACACATATCAATATATAAGGAGTTTTTATTTAGAAGGTTTTTTTTGTTTAAACAAATGGTATATTTCTTCTATCATTCTGTAGAAACACACGCTCCAAATAAAGAAATTGTCATTTTAAAACTGAATTTATTTACTTAACTGAATAATGATTAATTTACTATGATTTTAATAAAGCTAGATTTACACCAGAACATAAAAATAAGAATGATAGTCGTTACTGTCACCTGGTATCTTACTAAGGGATTTCAGTGCTTATTTTGACAAAAAAACTTTTATAATTTATAATTCTATAATTGAAAAAAAAAAATCCTTTTATATTTTACAGTTAAATCAGTTGGAGAGGAAACCAAGTGTTAATTGCTAACGTATGTGCTTAATTTTTATATTGGTATTTACACGGTGAAAATTAGTAAGTCACACTGCTTCGACAAAAAATATAAAACCATTTTTTTGTCACTTAAGACGATGATAATATCTTATTGGACACACGATAACAGATAATTACGCTTGCGCTATTACTGTAAGTCGGGGATTTTGTTCACCCAGTGAAATAATCGCTCATTATCATAATTAGTTTCGCCCTGTGTTTATTTTATCTTTCACTTATAACAGCTATATATGTTAAGGTGTGCGTTGATGTTCGCTGTCTTGATGAACGTACTCTCATTACGTTGGACGATAAAGATGAAAGTAAAACTGAGGCGAACATTCAGCGGTGAACATCATGTATACTGACGTACCGCAGCCTCTAGCTATTGATAGTATACATTACCCGAATGATTGTCGAGATA